TGGCTTTTGCTTTACCTATTAAACTGCCTTTATCTCAACCTATGAGTTTTTGCACTTTTACCCTTCTGATTCTCTCCCCCATCCCATCGGCGGGGAGTGACCAAGGAGCTGTGTGGTACTTAGTTGCCAGCTGGGGTTAAACCGTGACAATTATACAGACATTTAGTGGTTATAGAGGGAATTTAGGACTTGAATGTGGAAGTCCTTTGTAATTTTTCTGCAGCAAAGATGCTCTACAAGGCATTAAGTGACATAAGTGTTCTTATTATTAACATACTGTTTGTTCCTGTTATACCTTGAACTAAAAAGCCAGCCCTTTGGGAGAGTGGCTAGAAGACTTCATGTCTTCAGAGGAGGATGAATGCAACCCTGATGATGAGAAGGGATGTTCACTGCCTCCTCTCCGTTACGTAACACAGATCACTTTGGGTGCACCTCCTGGGGAAAGGGTTATGGTAACACGGATTTATTGTGGAGAGAGGCTAAACTGTCCACAGTTTTTCTGTTAGCACAGGTGAGGAGAGCATGCGCTCCCAGCCCTGTGTCAGGTACCTCTGTGCAGCCCCCACCCTGCTTCACTGACCCATGGGAAAGAGGCAACGCATAGGAGGCTTTTGGAGGGGTTGTCTGGAGCCCATCAGAGCTATCATTGTTGCAGTCCCCACAGAAGAGGTCCCAGTTGCATACCCTCTGGGCAGGTTATGGAGAACCTGCTCATACAGCCTGGCTCTGTTGGAGGCAGCACAGCTGCCTGGCGGTCAGAGCTCTTCAGCCAAGGCAGCAGTGGCAGTGAAAAGCTTCCTGAATTGTCACATGGATGGGTATGGACATCTGTAGAGGCTTGTGAGCAGAAGGGTACAAATGAATCGTCATCTTTGCTGTGACTCTGGCAGAGCCTCTTGGCTATGGTTTAAATTTTGTCATGTTCCCTTTCTATTGCTAGCTTGTGTGGCGTCTGCCCGATAGAAGGGAGGAAGATGGATAGAAGAACTGAGAAGCAGTAAGGTGCCTAGAGACAGTTAAATCACCTGGGCAAAGTGCAAACCAACACTGGAGATTAAACAGGAACTACGTCTGACAGGTTTGTGGAAGCTAGTGAAGCAGTGTGCAGCTGAAGTGGCTTTTCGTGATGACCCCTGTGAGAGCCTGGATGCTTGATTAAGAGGAGCATATGTCTTATTTAAGAATATTTTAAGCTTTGCCTGTGGAAGTCAGTTGTGACACCCCACTTCCAAAACAGGTAACCGGCAGAAGTCTGAGCCCAGGAAGTGTGCTCAGATGAAGAGATGGCTGAAACGGAAATATTCAGTGTTCAGGTCTCCAAATACACTGCCTGCTGAGTGTCGTGGTGTAGTGTCACTTTGACAAAAGCTGCTAGCTCCTGATAACTGCCACAGCACTTCTAAAGTAATCTCCAAACCATGCCAAAGAGTGCATTGACTACTGTGAGAGCAGGGATCCTGATTCCTACGTGTCTTTGCAAATAAAATAAACCATAACCTTGATGATCAGGATGAGATTTAAAAAGCTTTCAGAAAGTTAGGAACTCCACACCCAGTGTTTTAGAATGCATACAGTAATCCACACTGGACCAATAACTTCTACTTCTTCATTGCATCTCTTTCAGCAGTTCTTCAAAGAACAGAGCAAGCAATTCATCTGCCACTTTTTATCACATTTTTTGTCTTTAACTTGCCTCCTATTTCTCCTCTCTCGCTGGAAGAGCAGGGTTACTTCTTGGTTTGAACACATACATGTCTTTAATGTATGAAATTTCGTGTTTCTGGTGTTGGTCCCAATTCAGGACAGAACTGTGAGGGAAGCGATGTAAGAGTCTAAATCCCACTAGGCTGGGTAATACTTATTCATGTTGCTTCAATTTAGGTACATAATCAAGTATATCCTGAAAAGGATGTTTTCCTAAACAGAGACATTGCTGGTACTCCATAACTTCATAGTTTAGTAATTTACTGATCTGGTTAATTAAATGCATATACTGCATACAGAGTATACAAGCTCAATGCGATGTTGTACTGTGAAATGTAACTGCCAACAGAAATAGAAATCTCTACATGAAGAAGATCACAGAATCACAGAAGGCTGAGGTTGGAAGGGACCTCTGGAGGTCATCTGGTCCAACCCCTCTGCTCAAGCAGGGCCATCTAGAGCCACTTTCCCAAGACCATATCCAGGTGGCTTTTGAATATCTCCAAGGAGGAAGACTCCATAAGCAACCTGTGCCAGTGCTCAGTCACCCTCACAGTAGAAAAGTGTTTCCAGATGTTCAGACAGACCTTCCTCTGTTTCATTTTGTGCCCATTGCCTCTTGTCCTGTCACTGGGCACCACTGAAAGGAGCCTGGCTCCATCTTCTTTACATCCTCCCTTCAGGTATTTATATACATTAATAAGATCCCCCTTGGCCTTCTCTTCTGCAGGCTGAACAGTCCCAGCTCTCTCAGCCTTTCCTCATGGGAGAGATGCTTCAGACCCTTAATCATATTTGTGGCCCTTTGCTGGACTCTGTCCAGTATCTCCATGGCTCTCTTGTACTGAGGAGTTCAGAACTGGACACAGTACTCCAGGTGTGGCCTCACCAGTGCTGAGCAGAGTGGAAGGATCACCTCCCTTGACCTCCCTAAGCACAGCATAGCTAGCCAGTTGAGGGAGGTGATGGTTCCACTCTCACCGCAGTGGTGCGGCCCCACCTCGAGTACTGCGTGCAGTTTTGGGCGCCTCAATGTAAGAAGGACATCAAACTATTAGAGTGTGTCCAGAGGAGGGCGACCAAGATGGTGAAAGGTCCCTGAGGCCAAGACTTAGGAGGAGTGGCTGAGGTCACTTTGTTTGCTCAGCTTGGAGAAGAGAAGGCTGAGGGGTGACCTCATTGCAGTCTACAACTTCCTCAAGGGGGGCAGTGGAGGGGGAGGTGCTGACCTCCTTTCTCTGGTGACCAGCGATATGACACAAAGAAATGGAATGAAGCTACGTCAGAGGAAGTTCAGACTGGACATTAGGAAAAGGTTCTTCACTGAGAGGGTCGTGGGAGGGTCCCCAGGGAAGTGGTCACGGCACCAAGCCTGTCAGAGTTCAAGGAGCATCTGGATGATGCTCTTAGTCATATGATTTAGTTTTAGGTAGTCCCGCGAGGAGCAAGGAGTTGGACTTCATCCTTATGGGTCCCTTCCAACTCAAGATATTCTATGATCTACTTTGCCTAATGCAGCCCAGGATACCATTCACCTTCTTTGTAGCAAGGGCACATTGCTAGCTCATGTTCAACTTGGTTTCCATCGGGATCCCCAGGTCCTTTTTTGCAAAGCTGCTTTCCAGCTGGGTGGTGCCCAGCATATATTGGTGTATGCAGTTGTTCCTCCCCAGGTGCAGGACTTTGCGCTTCCCCTTGTTGAACTTCATGAGGTTCCTGTCAGCCTGTTTCTCCAGCCTGTTGGGGTCCCTCTGGATGGCAGCACAACTCTCCGGTGTATCAGCCACTCCTCCCAGTTTCGTGTCATCTGCAAACTTGCTGAGGATACGATATTCCCCATCGCCCAGATCATTAATGAAGTAGTTTACCAGTACCTGCCATTCATCCAGTTTTCAGTCCACCTCACTGTCTGCTCATCCAGCCTGTACTTCAACAGCTTCTCTATGAGGATCTTATGGGAAACAGTGTTGAAAGCCTTATTCAAGCCTAGGTAGACAATATCCACTGCTATCCCCTTGTCTGCCAGGCCAGTTGTTTCATGATAGAATGTTATCAAGTTGGTCAAGCATGACTTCCCGCTGGTGAATATCTTCTGAGTACTCCTGATGATTTTCTTGTTGTTCATGTGCCTGGAAATGGTTTCCAGGATTAGCTGCTCCATCAAGGTGAGGCTGACCAGCCTGTAGTTCCCTGGGTCCTCCTTCTTGCCCTTTTTGAAGGTAGGAGTGATATTTGCTTTCCTCCAGTCTTTGGGCACTTCTCCCAATCACCATGATCAATCAAAGATTATCAAGAGTGGCCTTGCAATGACATCTGCCAGCTGCCTCAGCACTCATTGGGGGCATCCCGTCAGGGACCTAGACCTAGATAAAAAGTTGCTGAGGGGTTTCCTAGTCAAGAAAAATTGTCATTGCCTAGCAAGACGTCAATCCTATAAATCTGAGATCTTTGATCACTGCTTTGAATTATCTTTGAGTGAACATTCAAATGCCTGTATTGCAGGCTCACTTTCACATGGTGCACTAAAGATTGCCACAGATGGCACAGTGGTCTGCTGGATAAAGCAGAGCTTGCTTCTTGCAGAGGAAGAACCATTCAGGTAGAGTAAGGAATACTGAAATGTTTTCAGTAGAGATGATGCAAAAAAAAAAGTATTTTCTTTTTAAAAGGAGAGAATTCTCTCATTTAAACAGTATCACAGAGATGCAGAAAAAAATTCTTATGCCTGCTGCAGCTCTACCCAAGCAAAAGGGATATTTGTTTTCACAACACAGATGTTTATCCCCCAAATGTGGAAAAATTGCACTGCTTTAACATTTCTGAAGAAAGTATTCACTTTATCAGAAATGGTGTTTCAGGGAAGAGTGAAATGTCCCTTTTAGGTCAGTCAGCTGGAGGTCAATGAGAGGATAATAAAGCACAGAGCAGAGGACCCATTTTTCCATGGTCATTATTTTTTGACATGCCAACTAGCAAAAGGTATGTCAAATTAGAATTTTGAAAACGCTACTGATTCACTGTGCTCCATTATAAACTTGCATATATTGAATTTTAGTGGTTTTAGCATGTGTATTAGAGCTTGAAGAGGCTTACATTAAATGTGCAATGAAGAAGAGCAAGTCTGTTTGCATTGCTGGGAGTGGTGGGGCATTACTACAGCTTATTGTATCTTACAGGACAATTTACCTGTGATTTATGGAATAAAAGATGTCTCTATATGACCCCTCCTAAATTTCTCTATATTATATACAAAAAAGGTGACCTAGTGGTAGACATGTGGAATACAGTGATACAGAGACAATTCTATGCTCACTAGGAACAAAATGTATTTTAAAATTACTCCCCATCATTTTCTTCTTCAAATGAGTCAGTTCCCACTTCTTCATAGTCTTTCTCCAGGGCAGCCAGGTCCTCTCGGGCCTCTGCGAATTCTCCCTCCTCCATGCCTTCACCCACATACCAGTGCACAAAAGCTCTCTTGGCGTACATCAGATCAAACTTGTGGTCGAGCCTTGCCCAAGCCTCTGCAATAGCTGTGGTGTTGCTCAGCATGCAGACTGCTCGCTGAACTTGGGCTAGGTCTCCGCCAGGAACTACTGTAGGAGGCTGATAGTTGATCCCAACCTGAAAACAGGAATATGAGAGAAGATTGTAAAAAGGCAAGAGCAGAAAGCAGTCAAAGAGCTGAAAAAAAGTGAGCAAAGTTGCAGATGCTGGGGTAGAGTGGTGCCACTATCAAAACTACCAGATGGCAAATGCCATAAAAAATAATGTCATAAACTATGATATATGGTCATTTTAATGTCTGTATTATTCTTCTGTTTAATGTACACTGGCAACTTTATAGCTTTCGTAACAGCTACTCAACACTGAACATACAGTGTCACCAAGATGCTCTATAGAAACTAATACAGAAAGTTGGTTCCCAGTTAAAAGTTTTCATTCTTAAACCAGCTATTTGTATGACGAATGTTTTTCCACTGCTAATGTCTGTATTATTATTGAAATTACGTTTCCCAACACTGCTATATAGCCAGTGGGGAGAGGCTGTATAATATTTCTGAACGAGGGTGTTAACTGACAGATTCTCTAATATCAGCATTTCCTTTATTAATTCTACTGGTTTTGGTATTTCCTTAGTTTTAGATAATGCTTTAGAGGGAACACTCACTGACTTTTTCAAAATTCACGTCTGAAATGAATACTGCTTTAGATTTTAACTCATATACACTTCAGATTTCCACTTACGTAAATATTTAGTAGTCTGTGTCAATGGGATGTCCAAAGGAGAAAGGGCACATTTTAGACACACGCATCTCTCTCATGTTCATTCATCTCACAAGTGGAAAACATGCAAGATATAAAACTTTAAATACAAGTTTTCCGCTAGACTGGACTTGCCCTTTAAACATCGAAGAGAAGCTGACGGCAGCCATACTCACCTTGAAGCCTGTTGGACACCAGTCGACAAACTGGATCGTTCTCTTGGTCTTGATGGCAGCAATTGCTACGTTGACGTCTTTGGGAACTACGTCGCCGCGGTAGAGCATGCAGCAGGCCATGTACTTCCCATGCCTTGGGTCACACTTCACCATCTGGTTGCTGGGCTCAAAGCAGGAGCTGGTGATTTCAGCCACCGAGAGCTGCTCGTGATAGGCTCTGTCAGAGGAGATGATGGGGGCGTAGGTCACTAAGGGGAAGTGGATGCGCGGGTAGGGCACCAGGTTTGTCTGGAACTCGGTCAGATCCACGTTGAGGGCACCGTCAAAGCGCAGGGAGGCGGTGATGGAGGAGACGATCTGGCTGATGAGGCGGTTGAGGTTAGTGTAAGTGGGGCGCTCGATGTCCAGGTTTCGGCGGCAGATGTCGTAGATGGCCTCGTTATCCACCATGAAGGCGCAGTCCGAGTGCTCGAGGGTGGTGTGCGTGGTCAGGATGGAATTGTAGGGCTCCACCACAGCGGTGGAGACCTGAGGGGCTGGGTAGATGGCAAACTCCAGTTTGGACTTCTTTCCATAATCCACGGAGAGGCGTTCCATCAGTAAGGAGGTAAAGCCAGAGCCGGTACCCCCGCCAAAGCTGTGGAAGATCAGGAATCCTTGCAGCCCAGAACAGGCATCAGCCTAGAAAGCAAAAGAGAAAGTGAAAGGATGGGGGCTGAAAAAGAATGGAAAGTCTTCATCTACTGTGTGAGTTTGTTCTGAGCTGAAGGTGAAAGCAGTCATCAGCAATACACAGCATAGCTTTCATGTCAGGTTTTCTTGAGAAAGGGCTGCTGATAATCCTATTCTTTGCTTCCGTCACTGGCTTGACTTACAATGTTAAAATTGGACTCTTACCTGTGGAGCTTCTCTCTCTGAACTTCACGCTTCTTTTAGTTAGTCTAGCTGAAACCAGCAATGTAGAACTGCCTAACCCACCCTTCTGTATCAGTATTCGTGCTCCAGGGCTGTGCTAATAATGAAGAATTACATATTCAGAACCACTTTTTAAGACTATCTGAAGGCATACAGCTGGGAAGTGAACTACTGGGCTTCTCTGTCTTGGGCTGGTAACGATGCCTCTGTATGTCTTGCAATCTCGTTTCTGAACCATTGGTCTCATCTGTAGTTAACAAGATACCTGTTCTGCACTTCTTTCTTCTGCAGAATCCAAACTGCTGTTTCAAAACCACTGGGACTTACCAGCTTACGGACACGATCAAGCACCATATCAATGCTTTCTTTGCCAATGGTGTAGTGGCCACGGGCATAGTTATTAGCTGCATCTTCCTTTCCAGTGATCAGCTGTTCTGGATGAAAAAGTTCCCGAAAGGTGCCAGCCCGCACTTCATCTGAACAAGAAAGAGAAATTGTGAGAAGCTGCATAGCTGTGCTCCAGTGCCAACAAGTTCTGGTTCCTGTTGGCATTGGTGCAAGCTTTCAGTCACTGGAGGTCATGACCGCAAAAAACAGATGCTGACAGAGAAGGGAAAGCTGTTTCCTAAGCATTTTTAAGTTGTTGCATTCTGTTGATTTATGTTGTGACTTGTATCCAGCCACAGAAGTTGTTATCTTCTGAAGAACTTGTCAGTTGTACAGCCTGTACTGATAAGAGGACAAGTCACCAGAAAAAAAGCGTGAAGAAAATCATGTTCCCCCAGGTGCCCCAATTTTTAGAAATCCTTCTATTCCTGGAGGGAAACTGTCGGGCTCCCACTTTGGATCCAAATCGGAGAAAAGCAGAATTTGAATGGCAAAAATGTCACGATAAACAAACCCAAAAGTTAAATGTTTGTGCAAAGAGAAGTCATACAAACCATGCGGACTAGCTATTAAACTGCTGAGGATTCTGCTGTTCCTATGTTTGTAACACTTACGGAGATAATTGAGTCTTGACAGAATCTAGCATTCTGTGTCACAAGAAAATTAATTTTATGCTATCTAGTGGCAGGCCAAGATACAAAGGGTGTGCTGCTTTGTGCCAGCGGAGACTGGTGGCACACCGTGGTGATCTTAGGAAGAGTAAGCTCTTCTCCATTTTCCAGGTTTATTTCTATACTGACCTACTACAGTTGGTTCCAAGTCCACCATTACAGCTCGTGGCACATGCTTCCCAGTGAGTGTTTCATTGAAAAATGTGGTAAAAGAGTCATCATAGTTGAGTTTATCGTGCAGATCCTTGAAGGTGCCATCTGGCTGAATGCCATGCTCTAGGCAGAAGAGTTCCCAGCATGCATTTCCTATCTGAACTCCCGCCTGGCCAACATGGATAGAGATGCACTCACGCTAAGGGGAGAGAACAGAGACAGGGTCAGAAAAAACACTGCATATTAGTCCTCCTTATTCCTAATGGTTACTTTTCCCCAGTGTATTGCTTTTCCAAAAAAAAATGGTGACTTGTCGCTGTCAGCATTTCATTTGGTTGTTCAACCCTGTGACCACAATGAGGCTGTACATATACACACCAGATATTGGGACAGTTCTTCAAAAAATTGAGATCTTTGTGCTGTAATATATGGGTACATGAAAACAGGCAGGAAAGAAAAGTAATTTCAGTTACACAAAACCCACCTTTCTTCCTAGGGATTGGCTCTGCTGAGGAGCACATCCCAGTTTAGTTTATTTTTACTCCTGGCTGGAACCTGACACAGCCATGTGGTATCCTTCAACCTTATGTAACCCAAGACAGGTGATGTCTTTTGATCCTTTTACCCTCTCATAGCAGGCTAGAGTGGAAACTTGGAAGAACTGCTTTAAGCAATATTCACCTCAGGAAATTGAATTTCAGATTCTGTCGGTTGAAACGAATGTTCCTTCAAGCTCCTGAGCAGCTATGAATTTTACATTGCAGGTCCACTGTGCATTCAGGTGGTGTCATTGGAATATAGCGTGTTTATTTGCGTAATTTTGAGCATAGTTCCTGTGGTAGCCAGGGACTTCAATGAAAAGAAAACAATGTACGTAACACCAGGCTAAAACAGGCAGGTGCCAATTGCTCCAAAATCCTTTACACTTGGAGTACAGGAGTAGGAAGGACCTGGTGCTGGATTTGGTAAGTTCAGAAACAGAATTATAAAGCAGATGCTCCTGAGTCAGTCCAGACGATTACGACACCGAGTGTAGTGAAAGGCAGTTTTGTAAGGAGAGAGCGGTTTCAGACACCTGGAGTTTTTCTGCTTCAGTTTCTGCTTTGGAGCAATTGTAATTACAGTCTTCTGAGCTCTGTCTTTGTGATCTCAATGGCCCTGGCTATACTAGGGAGTGAGAAAGAGTCAGGTCATAGTACTGAACACTGGCCTGTGATCACCTGTGCTGACTGATAATTAGCACACTCTCTGGCACAGTTTTGGCTTATGCCAGTTCATACTTTTCCAGACAATGCTTGGGCGCCATCCGGAATACAACTCATGGTCAAGAACGGTTTCCAGTGAGCAGCTCACTGACCACTGCCTTGCTGTGGAGAGGGAAAAGAAGCAGGCCATGCTACCTGGCGTCAAGGCCAGCGAATGGTCCTTGCTCATTTTTATTTAGTAATATCTAATTTGAGATGTACAATGACTTAAGATCAGATTTGGCCAGTTAACTTTTTTTTGAAGTTCTGTAACTGCTTACCCTGCAAAATCATCCTATGACCCGCAAGTGAAATGCATCTTCCCCAAAAACTAAGTCCTCAGGCAGAATGTGTGACCAGCAGCATCTCTGGAGCAGTGTTTTCTTCACAATTGATGTATATTGACATTTTAGAAACACAACTAAAGATATTTTTTCAGAAGCAAGTGGAACTTTAGAAGTCACCACTGCCCCAGTGAGTCATCCTCAGAAGTTCAAATGAATATGGAAAGCCAGTTTAAATATTTCATTCAATGACATATATTGTTTCTATTCAGTACTCATTTGTAGGTTGCTGACTCTGCGAACACATAGCAGCAGTGTGTGTAACGTGCTCTCAAATGTACTTGCACAACCCTGTTTTTCTCAACTGAGTTGTGCAAAAGTATCTGAGTTATTTGAGTGACGGTATGTTGCAATGGAGTTGCAATCTGGAGGATTACTTGGGAGACACTGAAGGCATATTTGGGCTTAGAGAATTCAATTAATGCTGATTTTGCACAGGACAGGCTCCTGCTTTTCTTTTAAATCCCGGTGTGAATCTGTAAGCCTGGCAGCAAGAAAAAAAAAACTTTTTCCTTTTACACACAGCAATGAGGACAGGTGACTTTTAAAAAGAATATCTTTTAGAGCAAAACTACGATTACAAGTCAAGCAATACTTGGAACCTAAAAGAGGTGCTTTCCTCAGATCAGTAGAGGAATTAGTCTGTTTCTTCACAGATGGAACTAGTGAATGTTGCCTTAGAAAGTTAATATTGTAAAGCTTAGTGTAGGACTATAGTTGAAGACTGCAGAACTGGTTCCTTTCCTTTTAGACCGATCTGTCAGCTGCGCTGGTTTGACGCAGTATCTCAACCCTGCCTTTTGAGCCAGGCCTCTTGCCACGACTCCTGCCTTCGACTCCTGTCTTCTCCTACCCCAGCAGTAATTTGGAAATATTCTGACAAGGAGAGAAGGCAATAACAAAGAGATTTCTAATTTTGCATGGTAAACAGCTTTAAAATAGATATCAGACTTTTAATAGGGAAGAGAGTGGGCCTTCTTCAGAGTCACAGGCAGAGTAAACTGATCTCTACATGGTATTTAAATTTGGAGCTTACTCCAAACTCATGTTTCACATCCCATCACTAATGTACCAGGACCTGTCTTACAAATTGTAGACCTGACCTTTTATTTACCAAGAGACAGTAGAAAGGACCACGTCCTTTGTGAAACTAAACCTGGGACAGCTTTGATTCTATTAAAAAAAACAGCATACTACCTAGCTTAAGTATTTACTGTACAAAGGCAGACTTCAGTCTTCCAGATATTCCCAGCTATTCCCGACACATACTTACTACCCTAGGTCTGCCTTAAGGCATGGGGAGCCTGTGGAAGTGTGTATCTTATCTTGCCTGCAAAATGAGCGCTCTCATTTTGGACCTGCAGCTGTACTGGCAGAAAATAACGTAGTTCTCTGCACCAAAATAAGACTCAGTGCTAGGCATAAATTGGAGTACAAGGTGAAATGGATTTTTCACATTCTAAGAGGTTTTGAGAGATTTCTACAAATTTATAGTAAACCCCCAAATCTTAATAATGAAGGGCCTTTTTTACGTACTTAAATGCATACACATATAAAAACATTCATGCACTCCAGAAATACGCATGTATGCACTGTATAGCTATGAATAGTACGGCCACTGGGGCCACATGAATTTAAAACAGACACAAAGGTAAGTAACTTTTTTGTTTTATTTCTAAAAAAAATTATTATCTGATATGGAAATGAACCTGCGTTGAGAAAATATAGTCACAACAGAGAGTACTAAAAAGCTAAGACTCCAGATCTAATTTATCTTGTAATTCCACTTATTAGAGACCCTTTGAAGTAAACTTTGCTTCACCATGCCTTACAACTCCAGTGAGATTTTCTGCCACTCCTTTCCCATCCTCCTAGGTGGTAATCGGTGCGTGGGATCAGGGTTTTGTGGCACAAACCACTGATGACCATGGCAGATGCCCCTGCCTTCCCTCGCCCACGGTGTCCCCATATGACTGGTGTTCCCACATCCCCCCTTACCATGGTGTCTCCAGGGGTGCTTCCTTCCCTCTCGGATCGGGGTGGCAGGTCTTTGCAGGAGCCCGCTCTGGGCTGCAGGGCAGGAGGCAGCCTGGGCCCAGCACCCGGCACCTGCTGCTGCGCTTCAGTGTCACGGTGCGGTGGGGAATAGGTCACGGACTCCGCAGTTTTGACCATGGCATCGCTGCCTCCCGCCCTCCCCGCCACCCCGCGTACGCAAATTCAGCCGGACGGGCAGGGCTCAGATATACCCCAGATTTCAAATTTAGTCCCGCCTGGTTTGGTGTGCTTATTAAATCTGAGCGTGGCCATGTAACATGCCGTACACTATACTTTCTAACACCTGAGTATTATCCATGTATATCACCTACAAGGCACATGCCATCCCGATTCCCTGTTCTGCCGGCATGTACATCTATAGACGAAAATCACTCCTAAATTCCAATACAGAAGACCAAGAGGGTATAAGAAAGCAAATTAATGAAAAGGAGAAGAATAGAAGAAATACCAAAAATAGAGAACTGGAAAGTAAATATAATTACCATTCTGAAGTGTTGTCTACCAGGGCTCTTAAATGCTGGCCTGACTTCTTTCTGTCCTTACTCCGGCTGCCTCTCTATTAATGTTTCAGTTTTCTTCTATTGCTTCTCTTTCTGTGTACAGTCATCCGGGCTGTCAGCGGTGTGGGGCAGTATTCAGTACAGAGCCTAACTCGTCTGTCCAAACACAGCAAGAAATTTGATTCTCATTGCAGTGCTTATTGCAGGAAATAGCTGGAGGCATCACGCAAACATTCTCACACCAAATTAGGGCAGTTGCCTCCACCATCTTATTGTTTGCTCCTTCTGCACTAGCTCAGCTTTGGAAAGCAGGAGCTTCTCTCAGTGGAGAAATCCCCATGTTTGCAAGTCCTACATAACAAAGAGGAAAGCACCCTTAATTGCTTGAATCTGAGTATTATGTGTCCCTGGACTTTAGAAACATATTGTTTATTATGATATTTAATCAGTAGAAATTTAAATACACAATTCCTAAATTTGATGTTAGCCTACTTTGACATGATTATATTAATAGACTGTTCTGCCACTGTTGGCAATTAGCATCTAAGGATCTTCTCCTTTAACTAATGCCTACATTTTAACAGGTTCATACCGTTTTTTATAAACTCACATTTACTTTGCCATAGTCTTCATTTTGCTGTTCTTTACATAAACCTGCAAATCACTACTCTTTGATTTTGTCTAGGAAAAGCTACAAATATTTTTTACAGAGGAAGAATTCCCATAATAATTTCTGTCTGCTGCTTTGTTTAAGGTATCCGAGTCCCACACTTCTCCAGAAAACCATGGGATCATTGCTTTGAGGCTGAGGAATAGGTTGTTCTAGTGTTCTTCTTCCAATGGAACTGGTAACATTCCAGCCAAGCTCCAGTGTTACAGACAATCTGAAATGTTAAAGCTCATGGCTCCACCAGGTGTAGAGCTCTGTGCAGAGAATCACCTCAGAAAAACGTCTCACAGCAAATACTTTGAGCAGTCCACCACCCAAATCCTCTTAGGCACTCTTTGAGTCAACATGTCAGATCTAGCAGCTGCAAAACCTGAAAGAGCTCTGTGAATTACTAAATTATTTGCAACTTAGTCCATTGCTGCATTTTCTGTGCTCTTCCATTGCTCCCCTCCTCTCTTCTGAAATAGGCAGTGAGAGCACCTCTGGGAGTCAGTGTTAGTCATTCCTCTCTCCACTCCACTCAAACTCACCTGTCCCAGGACCCCTAGACTCATCACTGTTGGGTTGCCACACTGAACAGAGTCTGGGTCATGCCTCACCACTCAAAAACTTCCAGGGAGCAGGGAGTGACAGAGTCTTCAGCAGTGTCCCTGGCTGGTGGGAACGCAATGGCTATGCCCGTTCTCTCTGCAATCAATTGAGCTTGAAGAGCCTAGGGATGACCCAGGTTACTGGTTTTACCTTTCTCACAGACACATAGCTAAGAAAGAGGCCACTGCAGACCTGCTTTACACCAAAGACAGTGGTTGACCTGCTCTGCCTTGAGATAGCCAATGAACTCAAGTGCTGGAAGTATGTGCTGGTCTGGGGTGATGGCCAGACACAGACGTAAAAGCCCTGAGGAAGACTTGGGCATACTGTTTTTCATGAGGTTTCCTTACGTTGCTCTGTCCACCTGTATTGCAGAGTGCTTAGGCAGAAAACCCTCAGCCTAGATTTAGAGGGTGGGACTGTGCTCCCAGGTACCGGTGAGTTTTGTTGACTCCGGAGTTGGCCTCTAGGCTCTACTCCGTAGAGACATGAGGCAGATACAGCCTGGGCTGGGATTCTTGGAAAGAAAACCATCTTGCTCGATGCTGGCATTCAACCTGTGTGGGCAGAGGGTGAGTTTGTAAGGGCAGTCACTCAACCTCTCTGTCTGGCATAAAACAGACTTGAGACATGCCCTGCGTGGGGAGGGTTGACAGCCCAGTGACCTGGTTGAGGCCTGCCCACTTCAGCTTTTACCTTGTGACACTGGTAGATGATGATGAGAGCTAAATAGGGCTGATTATAAAAAGTTCTGCCGTGGAGTCCTGAGGTGTGCAAATAAGCGAATTTGGCATGAGTGCTAGAGTGGCTTTGCTGGTACTGCCAGAAGGCGTGTGAATAGCCCACGCTCCTCGGGGTGATGCACAGCCTGCATGCAACTGAGGTGGTCTGGACATTCTCAGAGAGCTGCTCTTGTGCACGTAGACTGGGTGCTGTGCCATAGGCGCCCTCCAGAGCAACACAACAGGGCGGAGGAGTTGTGAGTTATTATCTCCAATTGTTTATGATACTATCAAAATCAGCCTCTTAGAGGGATTTAAAAAAAAACCCAAACTCTTAACATAGCCATACAAAACCTAAACCCTTTTTCTCTATTTAAAAATAGATGCATCTCTGAAAATAGCATTTTTGAATAATCTAGAGCCTAGAAGTACTGTGCACCAGATCTTAGGCCAAGAGAACCATTAAGTTCTGCCATCTATGTGTTCTGTTCTGACTAGAGATCAAAATACATCAACAGGCAAATGAAGGACAGTTAACTTCTTTATCTCCTCTACCAGATGCACATCACTTCCTACAGATCGGTTACCTAAGTGACTCACCAATAGTGGCAGAATCGTGGATTATTTTAGAACAGTAATGTGCCATCTTACAAAACAGTGCCTTCCTAAGAAGTTCTTTGGTGATCATACAAAAACCTCTCTCACTTTTAATTTGGTGTGTGAAAGTCTTTGCATTTCCCACACATCATAATACCTTCTTATTTTAGGTGAAGATGTAAATGCTTCCCTGTGTCCCCTGTAGAACTACGTTCTGTCATTCTGTTGCCACCTACTGGGAGAATTGACAGCATCTCATTTCACCTATTTCTGAAATCCCAAAGGCTAGTATTTCAGTACCCACATAAAACTGCTATATTGATAAAATACTGGCTTTCAGGCATTATCCCTGAAACAGAGAACTCTGCTATGTATTTTTAAAATTACTTTTAAATAAAGTAAAATTAAGTACGTGTTGGGATACAGTTTCAAAAGAGTTATCTCGTTTTTGGTAAGAATTGTCATATACAAAATTTCTCCATATATGTTAAAAATTATAGAATTGGATCTGGACTTGCAGAATTATCTCCCCCCATATAGCAAGTTCAGAATTATAGTTTCTAATACAAAGATCAGCCATTCATTTTGCAGATAAAAAGACCAGCTACATCAGCGATGTTTCTGGATGTGCCTGCTTTTCTTTATGACCTAATACAAACAGAGTTACTAGAAAGGGGATAATGCTCCTCAACAGTTTGGGCAAAACATAATGCATTTCTGTAGCCCTGCTGGAGTCGTATGCCATGAGTATATGTTTCAGTGAAAACATGGATTATTTTTAAAAGAAATTTATGGAAGATCAATAGTAAATCCAGCACTAAAATAGCAGTGGAATGTATTTGGTCTCCAGGGTGTTTCCCCTTCATCAGCGTTAAGGGAAACCTTCCAGATAACCATGAGCTCATACGCAAGTCGGACGCACATGGCAAGGTCAGCACAACAGGCTTATTGCCTTGCTGCAGGCGTTGTTCAAGCACAGGGCTCCTTGAGACGCACCCCCAAATGGACACCATTTTCTTTACCTTCTGTTACCTTTCTCCTGCTTCCTTCCCCTCCTAAACACACACACACTACTTTTTCACCAGTGGCCCTGTTCTGCTTATGTTACACCTTTATTTGGTAACTTGATATCTTACACTCAAGGCGGGGGGTCCCCAAAACTCCCCTTTCACTATACGTAATGCCCGGTAGCTTCTCCTGCCATCACCTCATTACTTTAGACACAGGTTGGGATTGGCCAGCCACTTTTCCTGTTCCGTTATCTGCAACATCCAACAGTTTCTCTTGTTACCCCATCAGTTTAACCTCAGGCCGTGGCTGGCCAGCTGCCTGCTTGCCTTAACAATATATTGTTCTAAAGTCCTAAAACAATGGGAATATACAAAAATATACCTTATGAAGCCTTAAGCTGTGAAGTCGTAGCTGGTGTTCTTAGACATCCCACCTATACCTAGCACACACATTTTTTGTCATGGTTCTGATTTATTGTGATGTCACTCAGTCTGATGGAGCTGGTAATGCTTCTGTCCTGCAGGCCACAAGCTGGTCATTTTAAGGCCCTTAACTCTGTTACAGATGTTGTTCATTTGGCAGTTACAACAGAACTGTCAGCGTACTTGCGCCTCCAGACCAATCCAGTTATGATTGTTACACAGTCGCTGCACAAGCATAGTGTCCTCTAAACTCCTGCTG